TGCTGACCACTGAGTCTTGACTGACTAATGCTCCTAACTATAACCGACTTTACACAATAACATATCTATCTATGCCAAGGTCTCGAACTGTTCTCGAGCTATTGGTAATAGTACTTAGAAGACCTATATTAAGACCCAGGTAAAACCAGTCCAGGTAGTAAATCACGGATAGAAGATTCGTGAAGTGGCTGTACACAATGGTGGTGACCTCACCATTTGGCACCTGTACAGAATATGTATAGAGTGTACAGTGCAGACCTATATTTTCCTTGTAGATCTTCATACTAGTGTATGTCATGTACCGTACATGTCCTAACTAGAGCCCAGGGAGATTACTAAAATAAAACCTTGACCGTGTCAGTTTCTGTCATGGCTACATACCTGTCCGACACATTACCTGGGAGAATTTCAATTTCTGTTCTCTTTTCTAACACACTGTAAAACAGTAATGTCCAATGTTGCTAGACTGTAGTGTCTGATGTTAATAGTACGTTTTATATCAGGATGTTTGGAAAAAAGAGGGGGGGGGGGGGGCGTATATTATTTCAACAGGTGCGTGCCCCCACCCTTCACCAACTCAGATCGATACAAACTATACATGAGCAACATATATAATAAACAATAGAAATCAATGGAATAGGCAAGTTAGCATGGAGACTGAAATGTTTGCATAGCACATATCAGAAAGTTACAAACGTTTTTCAACATTTATATATTAGTTGTACAAAACAGTTCAAGGTGTTTCATAGTATTTGGAAAACGAAAATAATATCTGGGGAATTTATTTACTCAAGGAATGGAGTGCTAACTACGGAGAATAAGGCAGTAGTTCTGTAGCATAGTAAAGTCAGCATTGTAATGCTGAATATATTTCTACTACTTCTTATTTACAAATAACAACACAAACTGAACTATCTTATGTTAGTGGGAATAGTCGTACCTATGTGTTACTGTAAGTGTACCTGGGTTCACCATGAGGGGACACGGAAATCGAGCCCACCGCCCCCTATCCCAGCCTCTTCAGATTAATGATAGAATATTCTATGTTCGTAATAGTACGGCATTTATATTCTTGGTATCCAAGTCCGTGATGATAGTCTTTTTCAAAAGTCGTGGTACAATAGGCAATTATTTACCATCATATTGAAATGTAAAATAAATACTGGTTAATTCGAAAAACAAATCAAATTTATGTTTTTAGGGTTTTTTTATCAGTGTTCATGCATAATGCATACAACTTTTACAGTAAAGATTGAGAATTCTCATATCCTGTAGTTTGTAATTTAAATAAAATAAATAAATAAAGGACAATTCAAAATAGCTACCGTTTTCAAAGCTGGTATCATTTTCATCAGTGATAATCAAACTGTAATGATTTCCAATGTAAAGAGAAAGATGAGCAATTGTTTACATCTAGTTCGAAAATAGCCATTTAGCCAAATAAAATCTGTTAAACTCAAGTCCAGGTTAAAACAAATGAAAGGATTATTTCAACCGGTTATCATGTTCAGCTGTTAGCTTTCATTTTGGAGGCAACAATTGCAAGAATCTATGATATTTAAGATCAATTTAAAGATTTACTTTAAACAGTTAGCTAGTTATACTGTAGTTAGTAAGTTACTTTATTGCTTAGATGTAAAGATGTACCCTGAACGAAAATAGAACTGAATATATTATTATTCAATATCACCAAAAACAAAAACGTCAAAAACCGCATTAAAAAATTGGTTAGTCAAATGCCAAGATATTGACGTGTGAAGTGTACGATTTCCACCTGTCCTTCTACTTCTCAGCAACGGTATATAAGTCATAATTGGCCTAACAACAACAATGGGTGACAATTACAAAACTAAATACACCAAAAAGAAACTAAATAGTAAAAGGTTAAAAACTGTACACATAATCCCACAGTGAAAATTGTCAGATATTATTATACAAAGAAATTTCAAAAATTTCAAACTTTATGGTATAAACCAATTCTATGCAGATATTCGAAAATCTTTGAAAAAATGATCGTATAGAATAATGTTTACATATCTAGCACATCATAATCTGTCTTAAACCGGCACAATCTAATTAAAATTATATCTGCGCATCGCTCCCGTTTACTGATATGTCGCGTTGAAGATCTAACAACATCCCATAGAGGGTCACGTCAGAGGTCACCGTGAATGCATTATCGTATTTATAACAAGCCAATCAAAACGCGACATAACTCTTTCTTTCAACCAATCAGAAAGCAGGACCTGTAGCATTCAATGCAGACACCTCGTAGCCCAAAATCTACTTTTTCGTCTGGTCCAGTAATATTGCGAAGCCTGTCATTGGTTAGTTTTAGTTTCAGGTTGTTAAACTTTTTAACGATAACATCACCAGAAGAGGAAGTCTCTCTTATTTCAAAGCAAAATCCACAAATTGTACAAACGTTGTCTTGTAGATAGACACGGCGTGGTGTCATGGGCGCCGCCATTTTCGATGCTCATTTGACACCTCTCGGTCTTTTACCATAGCAAGTGTGTTCCGAAATCATTACATCATCACTTACAGAAATGCGTAAGCTCTCATCTGATTGGTTAATGCAAAGGTCACCTGAACATGACCCTCTACGGGATGTTGTTAGATCTTCAACGCGACATATCAGTAAACGGGAGCGATTGAAAATTTAATTTTAATTAGATTGAAACCGGCACATTCCATCAATATGTGAAGCACAGTCTTGTGTTCGTCGCATGAGTGACAAAAGGGCTGATAATACATGTAAGCTAAAGACGCCCTCCCCTCTACGGGCTTCTATGAAATGGGTTTTTGAACATCAAGTGTGCTGAATTGCAAAAAGTCTATTGTGAATACCACGAAAAAGGTAATAATAATTATTTATATAAAAGTTTGGTATATTTTTAATTTTTGATGGAGTCAGACTAGAGACGTGATATTACAATAATATTTACGTCTCTGGTCAGTCTGTACTGAAAACAAATTCAGTTGAGCATTTTGAAACAGTAAATATGGTAAACTATTGATATTTTGTAACAGTAAATATGATAAACTATTGATATTTTGAAACAGTAAATATGGTAAACTATGGATATTTTGAAACAGTAAATATGCTAAATTACTGATATTTTGTAACAGTAAATATGCTAAATTATTGATATTTTGTAACAGTAAATATGATAAATTATTGATATTTTGTAACAGTAAATATGGTAAATTATTGATATTTTGTAACAGTAAATATGGTAAACTATCGATATTTTGTAACAGTAAATATGGTAAACTATTGATATTTTGTAACAGTAAATATGGTAAACTATCGATATTTTGTAACAGTTAATATGGTAAACTATCGATATTTTGTAACAGTTAATATGGTAAACTATTGATATTTTGTAACATCTGTTATATATATATGTGTGTGTGTAATAAGATTTAGTCATATATGCAACATTTTTCGTTCTGGAGTGACAAAAATATTAAGAGCCTACATAAACAGGGACACACTTTCACCGAAGGGTCACACAGACTAATCATGTATATCATAATAAGGTTTTATAAGACTGGATACTGTTTGACTTGGTGTATTTGTGTATACATAGCCCCAGGCAGTCACATCAAAGCCTGGATCTCAAGCTGACAATTGGCAATATCCCATACGGCTGGGCCTATTGTATAAATACATTTATAACCCATGACCTACTTACCCTGCTTATCTACAATGTGAAGTACTGGAGTCTAACAAACACGATCCATCTTTTCGACTCTCTCTTTAATGCCTCGATCACTTACAACACAAACGCAGGTGGTCCTGGTGGTATATTTAATCCGTTTTAATCCATGCCATAATTATCTGTGAAGAAAAAAAGAGCATTCATTATTTGAAAGTATCATGGTTATTTTATATAATTTTTAGAATGTAATTTTGTTGCAAATACACGTTAGACAATTTGTTTAAAAAATCTCCACTTAAATATCATTTTTTTATAAATACAAATTACATATTATTTTTTGTTACAAAATATTTGTATTTTTATATTTCATTTTGTTCCTAAACATTTTTGTTACATTCTGTTGCAAAACAATTTGTGTTCCCTACAAAATGTACACATTAATGATATATTTGGTCAGCGAATATTTTAAGAAATAATATCTTTTGTATTTAATGTGCATTATTGTCCAAATGATCCAGAGACATAAATATACGGTTAAATATAAACCCCGCCTGGTGCCTCTGCACCGAAGCTCCCATCCAAAGATCGATACCAACGTTTTATGTATGGGTCAATTTGATATAATTTTGGCCACTTCGATACATATACGAACTTCGCATTGTTAAATTGATTCCTTTTGTGTCTGCGCTCAGCTACATTTACTGTGCTATGGCCAGAAATAGCACCAAATCTAAACAGCTCGTTCAGCAATGTACGTCACGATTCTAATTTAACTTCGGACGACCAGTGGAAACTTCGTAAAACTCCGCCAACACGGAAAAATCCTTAAATGGCAAACAAGGTTCCGTTTTCGACATCACGACAATTACCGGAGATACACGATCCATATAAGGCAAACAAGCTTCCTATAACGATTCTGACGTCAGCACGTGGAATTTGTCCTTCTACTCCATATAAGGCAATTGTGGACTCGGAAGGGCAAAGGTTACTACTATGAAATTCATTCACACACTCCATTCATCAACTTACTACGAAGGTTTTCTCGATAAATGTGAAATGATTCTTCAAAATTTTTAGACAAGCTTCTGTATCTAGATACGTTCTATATAGCACGAAAATGTTGATTTTGAAAAATCTTTATTTTTACCTTAAATTAGCCTGACCTACTAGTTAATAGTAAAATTTGATAGTAAAGGTTATCTATTATTTATGAATGACGTAGGCATTGACGTTAGTGGGAGCCATGGAGACGCTGCCCGGCAACCAGTCTTCCATGCGCCGTGATTGGCTCTAGTATATGACTTGGATCACGTGGTATCCCATATATGGGAAGTCTAGCGTAAACGGTTTCATTCATAAATACGATCCGGTGTGAAGTTCATTCAGAGTTTGCCGAGTCGAGGATCAATGCTGGTGTGTAGATGATTTTAGCAACGATACTATTAAGCTCTCCGTAGTCGGACAGTGTTAACACATCATAGGGATATTGGACATACGTTTTACACGGACGGTGTTATTAGTAAACAATGATTATGGACGGTTTGGACACACTGTCACAGGTAGCCCTAGCAGACCAGATGAGTCTAGCAAACCTGTGTTTTGACACTTCAGCATTCGGAGGGAGTCGACTTCCCTCGGAATCATTTGATGACTGTCTCAACACACCTGTTACCAGTAGTTCGGATGTTACATTCTTTGGATGTGATCCATTGGGCCCCGTACCAATCACAGCTACCGGTATGTATTATAAATTAATCGTGGTAAACCACGATCAGCTGTTCGTCAACATGCTATATTACCGCTATTACTATGCTCATTTATAATCATATACTTGCACATTTTCTAATTATTTTACTGGTATGCTATGTAGATATGTTTCAAGTATATTTCTACGGATTTTCAGTTGTACATTTTCATTCATACAGTCAGGTTATTGATTCAAAGCTGTATCGATTCACTCGGCATAGTAACCCCGCATAGCGTATTTAGACTTGTGTCTATTCTTAGCCCATTCATGTTGAACAGCCACCATTGACGTCATGAATATCGGATAACACTTTGGCCTGGAGCCATACTGCGACATTCATTCATTAGCAATACGAACCATATTTTTACGTTTTTCTTGTGAAATACTCTCAAATATTGTTTCGTACATCTTATGAATTGTCGATGAGGTGGGTACACCACCGAGGAACCATGTGGAACCAGTGTTTACGTTTCGACACCCACGGTTTCGGCAAAAGCCGACACAGAGGGGGCGGGGCTTACATATAAATAGCCGCAATCAGAGATAACTATCCATTACAAGCCTACGTCATAGATCGGTCTCGAGTAGTCTCGTGCGTAATACGTGACCCAGGCAATTATGGACAATGTCCTCATACACAACAGATATCGTACGCGAATTGATCCTGTCTAATTTTCATATTTTAATTATTCAAATGTAATAGACATTTGTACACGCACTTTGAATAAATTATTCATCATACAATATATAACGATTCTACTTTTATATTAGACTTGTATTTATAAATACAACTGCACTTAATACAAATAGATCGGTTTAATAATCTAGTATTAATGAATTTAATTTAATTTGTTTTGAATTAAAAAAATAAAAAAAAATAAAAAAATAAAAAAATAATAAAAAAAAATTCTATATATGTTGTTCATTGATTAGTTATCGATATGTCAACATATTTATTTGTTTTTATAATTAATTTCATTGTTTATACCATTACACCTCATTCTTAAAATTATAAAGAGAAAATAGGGTTATGGATTATTTTTTCTTATTTATTTACCACTTTTTAAAAATGCTTCTATGCAACGTTTTTACTTATTGGTGATCTATTTATGTCTTTTCAGCTAACATCGAAGCACAGATCACCATACCGGAGAAGGATGGCGTTTTTGCTAGAAGTCAGATACCACTACAGCAGGATGACCAGGCAAATTTCTCTAATCTCACCCACCGAATCCAGTACAAGGGTACACTGGTCACAACATCGGTTACGCCTACATCCAGCAGTAGTGACGCCCTGCCCCAGGGGATAACGCCCAGCATCTTCACGCCGCTGTCCCCACTCTTCAGTATTCTGACGCAGGCTACACAGGGGATTCAGGCCCAGGTAGGGACCGGAATACCACAGGGAACTGGACAAGATTACTCATTCATCTCCAATGCTCAATGCCAACATGGCTCGTTTAGCCCGACCCCTTCAACCACTTCCCACCACTCACACGCCGAGTCCCCAACACCGGCCGACCTGATGATGGATCAAACTGACACATATTCGACAGGTTTCGGATCCCCCGTTAGCTCCAACCAGAGTTCACCCGAACACCAAATGTGCGAATCTCTCGCCGCCGTCGACACGTCCAGTCTGAACTTCTCGACACCGCCACCACCGCCTTACTCATCTCGCCCGGCGATGACATCTTATAATAATATACCAATGAAACAACAGCCGGTGTTTAACTCTTGTGCACAGCAACTCAACTACCCTGTGACGTCATCGATGTCGGTAAATGTTCCTCAAAGCATCCCACAAACCGTACTGCATTTTACAGAGGACCTCAATTCAAAAGACATTAATATGAATGCCGAATTCAAATGGACGGTTCAAAATTCTCCCCAACAACAGCAACAACAACAGCAACAACAACAAATGAACACAAATCAACCACAGACTCAGTTGCCTGACTTTTCTGCACTTGGTCAGGTATCATCACACGGTGTTACCGGCTTCACCCAAACCGGGTTCCAACAAGTGCCCATCAAATCTGAGCCATTATCAGACTTGCCAAGTGACTTTATGATGACACCTACACAAACAGACTTTGCTTCTCCTTCAGCTTCGGTGTCCCCTACTCCATCTTTACCCGCTGTGCTCAACACGCCATACCAACAGGGGGCGCTGAAGTTGATTCCCCTTAAGCCAAGAAAGTACCCCAACCGGCCTAGTAAAACACCTCCTCATGAGAGACCATATGCTTGCCCAGTCGAGAACTGCGACAGGAGATTCTCGCGAAGCGATGAACTCACGCGCCACATACGCATTCACACCGGACAGAAGCCTTTTCACTGCCGGATATGCATGCGATCGTTCAGTCGAAGTGACCATTTGACTACACACGTGCGCACGCATACCGGAGAAAAGCCGTTTTCATGTGATGTTTGTGGACGCAAATTTGCAAGAAGTGACGAAAAGAAACGTCACGCTAAAGTACATTTGAAACAAAAGATGAAGAAAGAGGCTAAGATTATAGCTACTACATCATCTCTGCCAACGTCTTCAGGTGCTATGACGGAAGGTCTCGTATCGAACTGTACTAGCGGGCCTAGTACGTCACTTCCGCTCATAGTGACAACATCCTCGTTATAAACAGTTAATTCAAACGAGACTGTTGACATTTTGTGATCCAAAGACTTACAAACATTCATTCATCAGATCATTCATTCAAACACGCTACGAAACACATGGAATATATAAATTCCAAAGAGACGAACAATATCAATGTAACTCAGATGTCTTATGCTCAATTATGGAGTTAAACTTTAACTCAATTTTTAAAATGTGTGTTGATCAGCATCAGGGAATCCGGTGAAAATTGTTATATAGATCAAATGCTTTAATTTTGTTGTCTTTCCTTGGTCCGGATTGCGATATATACCGAGTATATATTACTTATATATAGTATATATCCTTGTGATGATACACTGTGGGTGTAAGACTACAGAAGTGTACGACCTAAGAAATTATGTTAAAAGATTTTTTCAGGCCTTAATGTTTTGTTACATGTATATATATGTAACTCTCTTAAACGGTCTTTATAAAAAGGTCCATGACGCAAAAAATGGCACAAAAATCTATCTAACACAATTTCTAGTCTTGGTCGTGTCACTTATTGGTGCTAGATCCATGGCGTGCAATGATCAGAGTTATATAGATTGCTTTAAAGTCAATTGTTTCAGTTGCAAATTATTACCAGTTTAAAAAAAATAATTGTAAAGTTTAATGTCTCTAAATTATTGATAATTAAGAGAAAAAAACTTGAAGTTTCCTTTCTTGTTGTTGTTTAAATATTGTTATTGATTTTTAATCATTCATTTTCCATTCGAGCACGTTCGTCATATTCATGTTATCATTATTCATCCACAGTATTTCATTTGTTTCATCTAATTTTGAGTTTGTCATTGGCAGCAGTTTGTTTTTGTGTATTAGTGCTTAAAATATATGTTAATTAATATATAATGATGTTAGATCTGAAATATTCCCCAAAACTTATGAAGCAAATTTTATTATATCTTCCCGCTGAGAGCGATTATATAGATGATATTTCTCTATGTGCCCCTTCTACTTTAAAAGATGAAGAGGCAAAAGGATTCCGAATGGCTTAACCCCAGGCAATATATAAGGGGTTTCCGAATGTATGTGATTCTGAAAGTGCTACGTTGAACTGAAATATATGAGAAGCATATTCAAAGTTAAAGCATAACTTATTTTTCTACCTTCGTATTTAACTACTATTACCTAATGTGTCTGTTGATGTAATAGGTCGGTTTAAGAAACCAAAAACGATTTATCTAGTTTTCGTTTTTCCCTTTTTCAGCTTGAACTATTTCTATCCCAACGTTGAGCGTTTTTATCTATTTAAATCTTTTAATTGATTAATTAATGAGTCCTTTAATGGATGGTTATTATATGTTTTATTATTCTTTCAATATTTTAAATATTGTGTGTTCGAGTCTTTAATTTGTTAAAACTTGGGAGGTGCGTTGTTACTCTGTTGTTCCCTTCCCAGGCCCGTTGTCAGTGTTGTGAAAATAATCGTTCAAATTGTTACTATGGTTACTGTATGATGCACGTTACTTAATAATGTGAGTGGTTGAATTTTGTTCAACGTTTTCCCTGTTAGTATTACATATTATTGGAGTCTCATCCCGTTATAATATTGCCTTCTATAAAATATCACAAAATAGCTATATATTTTCAAATATGTTGTCCTTCTGAAAGGGTTAATCTTGCTGGTTAAGAATACATGTATGGCATAATTTGCCAAGTATGGATGTTCGGAGGTGAAATAAAATTGAAAAAAACTTGATTTATGCCTTTGAATTATTTTTGTCTTTCGTCTGTCTCATCTGCGATGTACTATTTATAGAGCAACGATTTCTGAACTAATATAACAATAATCTCCATAGTCGCTCTACCAAGGTGCTTTTATTAATACAAGGTATTTTACGACAAGTATATAATTTTTGTGTTGTTCACGAAATATTTTAAAAGAAAAGACAAGCCTTTCTGCAATACACAGGTATTTTATATTTCAAAGACAATAGAAACATGTGGTCATTTTTAGATCCTGTGATGTTGGTGAAAGATACATGGTCTTAAATATGTGAAATTAAAAAGGTTCACAACGGAGAATAGCACTAACCACCATTCATAGCTAAGACGGTTTATATTGCCGGAAGTGAAAGTGTTTTAACATATATTCAAACGCGCCAGAAGAAGCTCACAGCTTTCAATCGGCGTAATCGCTATATGAATTATATGAACTATTGAAATGAACATCTCAGGGTGTAAACCGGAAGTACCTTGACCCGAGCCCACCTATCATGACGATGAATGATAGAATTCAAACATACAGAAAATGTTGGTCAACATATGAAATGAAATTTTTGCATACTAATAGAAACACAGCTATCACTCTACTTCTAGAATGTAGCAGTATCTATTTATAGGAACACGAGTATTATAAATGCTTCTATTTCACTGTCACAAATTGTTGAACGTAGTGATACCATAAAGATATTTATCAAATAAATGCCGAAAAAGGCACACATAATTTTAACTTTTAAGCATAAAAGACTTATCGATTGAAATTTTACATTGATTACATTAATACTGAGTCCGGATAGACACAAAATTTTGTTGGAAACAGGAATGAATAAAAGAAAGAAATTCGATCAATTCACTTATAAAACAATTCATAACAGATGTATAATTAATGAATCATTGTGGAAAATCTTTTTCGCATGTTTCGTATTTTTCAGTACTTCTGGAGAAAGTCGAATATTTCTTTGTACTATATGCATTATTAAAACTTCTTTGCATATACAAACAATACGGTATTTCTAATGAAACCACCGCGAAGTTTGGAGAAACTCATTTTGGCCTACAGTGATCCTGTTTCGTCTCACGAGGCGCCTAGTATAGGACATTCTGCAGAACTGGTAGTTTCTATTTTCATTGTATTATCTATTTATATCGTCTAAAATACTAGAAATGGATTGGACAACAGACAACGGGTAGAACCGTATTTTCCGCTGTGTCTCCTTTCCGGGTCACATTGGTGTAATCAGCTTGATCTGTAAATCCTAAATACATTACATATCATACTCATTCTTCTCATCAATATCCGGTTACTTCTCCGTTGAGTCATTGTTAAATATCTTTCATGCATAGTTAGAGCATTCTTACACTTTCTTCATTTTCTGAAAATGTTAAATATACTTCCTTATATCCATTTTAAGTATTTTGACTGTACATTATAATACCTGACACCCGGTGTTGACAATGGGATAACTTCCCTTATTCTAAACGTGGCGCTGCAATTCACGGAAAAAAGGCGAGAGAGTGCATCGTGTTTATTGTTCGGTGATATTTTTGGGGGTTTCGTAGAAATCTTCCTTTATTTCTATTTTTAAAAGAGAAAACAACATTTTCCCTGAAAGAAACATGAAGATATTTTAAGCCATTTTACAGAAGAAATAATGTACCCTAACTCCTGGCATCATGTCTTTCACTATGATATGACGAGGTAAAAACATAAACAAAATCACTCGTTTTTATCATGTAACTTCCATTACAATTCCTCCTTGATGTAATTGTACTAGTTGTTCCTGGCAGTCTTATTTCCATGTTTTAACTACGTATACTTTACAGTACTTCACAGCAGACTTTCAGGGAAAGTAGTACCTGCCAGCCAGCTACTATTGGTTGGCATTCTCGATACCCCGGGGGTTTCTCTCGCTTTCGCTCCTTGCACCCATGGAATATGTCATAACAAAATCGAAGGCATGCGGCTATCTATTTTATTGGAACCATGTGAAAAATCCCTGATCAATCGCAGGCTAATACATGTCCTTTGAAGGAGCCAGATCTGACTTCAAAGTCATCACATTTAACAGTTACGCGGACGCGAGATTTCTATAGAGGTACAGCAAAGGGTCATACTGAACCTTCAATTTTGCTATGACATGTTCCAGGGATGCAGAGAGCGTAAGTGAGCGTAACCCCTTGCTTATCCAGAATGTCTGTTGGAGGCCAGTCTCTTTGGAAAGTGATGATATCAACAGGGAAGAGGAATCGAGGAAGAGAGGAGAGCGATGAAGATGAGCAGATCACGACAAAGACCAATCTCCCGTACATGTACCTCTGCACCTCTGGGGTACATAATGGCGGCGTCGGATAGTGTCGGATAGAAGGAAGAGATACCAGCTATGTGTGAGGCTTGATCGCATTGTGAAATTCTAGTACACAATGCTTTGTTGTATACCAAAATGTTATTTTAGTTGTCTTTCTATGACAAAATATGTGTTATATAGACTAAAGATAAAGCCAGTATGGGGTAGTGTGACCTCCATATATGAGACCATAACAGTATACACCTGATTTACTATAGAATGGAGGATTCGAACAAAAAAATCAACCGTGCATATCCTAAGATGTGTAACCCCATCTCCTAAAGGCATTACAATAACACAAGACTGTGAGCTGCTCGGCTTTAAATGCCGTTTGTTAGAAAATCGATCTTAAAGATTGACATACTTTTCTGCTGCTGTTAGCACTATTTATACCGAGGCATCTTGAAATGTGGGACACTATGTATTGCAGCAACACGTTACACCACTATACCGTGCTTTACAGTTCGATCGCGAGCCACACCGCCAAGCAAGTGTGCATGTCTTTAGAAAATCGATATTATCTGAACGATTTGGCGAAATAACTTTCTGCTTAGGTCAGCACAATTTACATCGGAGCATATATTTACAGTCAGGCCACACCTTTCTTCTCTCCAATGTCACCGGTTTAACGAAACGTTTAACTACTAATACATTTTTCCTGAATTGAATTCCCCCCAGACAGACAAAAACGTCTGTTGACTTGGCCTTGGTACCCTAATAAGACTTTTCCTAAAAGGATACATACAACATAACCGAGACAAGTAATTTCAAAATAATTCCACTCATTTATAAAGGGAATTGTTTAATTTATTTATAACTCATTTGAAATGCACTCTAAAATGCAAATTTATTTATAGCTCAATTGAAATGCACTCAAAAATGCGATAACTAATGATGTAAAGGGCATTTTGAATGGTTAAATAATTTGTAACTAAAAGTCGGGATGGGAGATGATATAATTTTAAATCAGATCTAAAATCCCCGTTTCCTACGTTATCACAGCATAGTACGTGAAGTCTGAACAAGTGTACATGTACAATTAAAAATAGGAAAGAAAACATGCCAGCAACTGATTGGATGGTGATGGCGATTGAATTTAATAAAAACATACGTTTATTGAGAAACTTTCGCTGGTTCACACAATTCTGCACTAAGTACAATAATGTCAATGCTATCATCAATCTGTGTCCTTCAAAGTATGACGAAATCAGAAAGGAAATTGGCGGATAAGCAGCTGACAGTTCTCATAATGGTCCCACTGACTTGTATGACCCACTTTTGTTTTAGTATCTCCTCAATTCCTGTCGTGGTTTTGTTTTTGTTGTTTTGGTATCTCTTCATTTCCTGTTGTCTTTTTCTGTTTTGGTATATCTTCATTTCCTGTTGTCTTTTTCTGTTTTGGTATCTCTTCATTTCCTGTTGTCTTTGTCTGTTTTGGCATCTCTTCATTTCCTGTTGTCTTTGTCTGTTTTGGTATCCTTCATTTCCTGTTGTCTTTTTCTGTTTTGGTATCTCTTCATTTCCTGTTGTCTTTTTCTGTTTTGGTATCTCTTCATTTCCTGTTGTCTTTGTCTGTTTTGGTGTCCATTCAGTTGAAGACGGTGTGTTTTCGTTGCAATTTTGAGTTGAGATGTTTTCTTTTTTGCGAACACGCAAATTTCCGAGATACTAAATTATGGATTTTTAACATTGTCAAGTAATATTGCAATTATTATCATATTATTATCATTTAAATGGAAATAATTAGAATGTCAAACTATACATTTCTGAAAATCATACTTTTTAGGACAATTGTCTATAATGTTTATTTCTAAACTTTAATATCACAAAAGAAATATTGCTTTTGTCCTATTTAAAACTCTTTGTTATTCATCATCATCTGATTGTTATTTCCCTATTAGTATAAATACAGTATACAATTGTCTCTGCAATTATATATATGCTATATAGTAGTTTACAGTATAGACACATTGCGTTCGATATAACTTGCTTTAAAACAGGAAGTTCACTTTACAGGAAACCTCAAGGTGAAATATAGATAGTATATCTACCAACAGATCTAGACCGGAATCCATTTGAATCCGACGTAGTTAGCTTTATGATAGGTCATGTGTTTAAATTCAGTTTTAGATATGCACAGAAATATGACTATATATGAATTATGTAAAAGTTTTTAAAATAATCGTTTTGAATCCAAGATCAAACTTAGTTTTATTAAGTTAATGATATGAACTTATCGTTGTAATTATTTCAAATTTACTTTAACATGTGGCTAAGCTAACAAGGCTTGAAAAACCGGACTTAGTTCTTCGAAGATCCATTACGCATGCCACTTAATACTACAGCAAAGTTAATATTGAGACAACAATATATTCATTAATATTTAAACATTATACATTAATTTTAGAAATGGCCGCAGTGTTGATTCAAAGTGAGCACATGTGCTAAATAGCAAATTTATAAAGGTTTTGCTTTTAGATTAAGAACAAAAGACCTCTTAAAACAATGCTAGAGTGTGTCTTCAAATTAAAACATTTGAATCCATGCCTTCGTTATATAGATTGTTTTTAACGTTAAGAACACAACTCAAATTATGAAGCTGTGATTATATGTCTTTCGTTATACTCGTCTA